CGGGCTGCGATTCGCCACTTGGTCGTTTTTTGGTTTTGGGTTTTCCCCCCCCGGCCCCGCGCGCGCTCGTTCTCCTAAGGAGCGAGCAGCCACCAGTACCAGTCGTTTCCGTTAACTGAATTCCCTGCGAGCATACCGTAGTCCTCAGGGATCGCTGAGAGCGATCAGGGTGCAGCCTGCGTCTCCCACGAGGCGTTTTTAAGAGGATAAAAGCGTGTTTTATCTCGGCGGGAGCTGGCTGTAAATCACTCGGCAAACGATGCGCGCTTCCCCGGCAGGACCTGCAGGCGCAAGACCGAGCGCACCGCATCGGGCAGCAGAACGAAGTGCGCGTTCTCCGCCTCTGCACCGTCAACAGCGTGGAGGAGAAGATCCTTGCCGCCGCCAAATACAAGCTGAATGTTGATCAGAAGGTTATCCAAGCCGGCATGTTTGACCAGAAGTCCTCGAGCCACGAGCGAAGAGCCTTCCTCCAGGCTATCTTGGAGCACGAGGAGCAGGACGAGGTAAGGGGCAGCGCAGGCAGCTTCCTCCTACTCCAGAGCGCGAATGGCGAACGTGTGGCTGGCTTTGCTCCACTGCTCTGTGCGTCCTCGAGGCCAAGGGCGTGGGGGCTAGAAGGAAAAAGGAGCATGAACACTTGTTTCTATTTGAAGTGAATTTTTAGCGTCGGTGAAAGGTGCCGGATTGACAGCCCTGGAGACTGAAGTCCTCTATTTATCCACAGAACAGATACAGCGCGGGCAGCGGCAGTGGCAGTGCAAGCTTCCCCCACACTGCCTCAACCCTGTGCCTGAACGCTGAGTTGGAGGAACCACCTCTAAAGGTGAGAGGGGTTGTTCAGTCTCCACGCCCATTCAATCCTCGGCCTTGCTGCTGAGACTGCCAACGCACGTGCCAGCTCTGACGGTGATTCTTTGCACCGTGGATAACCTGTCCGCTAGAAACTGGACTGAGGCCACCCAAAAACACATCTTTCACGGGCAACCGAACAAGCGTCGGATGGTAACGATGTTCGGTGCTGTGCTCCGAGCGGACGAACTGCCGCGCCGCCTTCTCTCGCCATTGAATCGGGGATTTAAAATCTTGCAGGAAGAAGACGAAGTCCCCGACGACGAAACGGTCAACCAGATGATTGCGCGGCACGAAGAGGAGTTTGACCTTTTCATGGTGAGCATGGCACAGGCTGCGGAGGAGGAGTGGTGCCCGCTGTTCTTCCGAGTAGCAGCTAAAACGGTCTCTCTAACAGAAATCAGCTGAGAGTGCTTAACGAAGCCGTGACTCGTTCAACAGGTAAAACAGAACTGTAGAGCAGGGGCTCAAAGTCAGGACGTTCCCGGCTCCGGTAAGGGACGAGCTCGGGGGGGGGAGCCGGAGAGGGGCAGCTTCCCACCGCGGGAAGGAGGAGATGGGGCCGGCGGGCGCGTGCCCGCGTGCCAGGACCCCTGTCCCTGAGCAAAAAGCTGCTTCCCCCACCCAAAAGAGCTCCGGCCCGAGAAAACTGTTGGAGAATGGGACAAGGAGCGTTTAAAACGGAGGAAAGGCTCCTCGTGAAGGAGACCGCCCAGCTCCGAGCCCCGTGTGAGGGTTCAAGGTCTCGGGGGCGGCACCGGTTTGGTTAAACCGTCGATGAGAACAGGACGGTGGTGCAAGGCCGGGTGTCTCTCGCCCAGAGCTCGCATCTCCCCGAAATGGCAGCCCCGGCTGCTCTGCCGGCGCACGCTTAACTTCCGTGCCCGACGCGCCGGCCCGCGGTCCTCAAAGGGCTTCGGTAGCGGCAGACTTGCCCGGCGAAGGCCGGTGGGGGG